AAAAAAAAAAAAAAAAATACTAGTGTGTCAATTTAGAAAAGTTGGGATTATAATATCATTTTAAGTCCCTCAGCTTTTAAAATTATATCAAATCTATCCTTAAATTTTAAAAAATATCAAAATTATCCTTAAACTTTCATTTTCTTTACCAATATCGTCCCTCTGTTGATGGAAGTAACAAGTGACCCGTTAGGTTGCTATAAAAAATCAATCATTTTTTTGCAACAAATGACATGGAAAAGAATACAGGGCTTTTGGATGAGTTGGTATTTTTATTTTTTTCCACATCAGTGAAATTATAAAAAGAAGAATAAGAAGAAGAAGTAGAAGAAACGATATTCTTCTTCCTCTTTCCCTTTCTCTCTCACTTTCGTTTCTTTTCCCCTACCCTGCAAACCCTAACCTTGAAAGCATATTGGCATTGCCACTTCTCAACACCACTGAGTCAGCAAATTAAGACGAATCTAATGGGAACTTTTTCTTCAACATGCAATCACCTTCCTCTCTTCCCTATCTCGCCTTTCTTCTCCTATTAGTTAACACACGTGCAGAACCAAACCAATAAATAGGGCACAAACTAGCTACAAGTTTTTCTAAGGCACAAATTATACGTATTTGCCTTTCTTTTAGTATCAGCATAATAGAAATCAATTCATCCTCTATAAATTCAATTTCACACTGAAATCCATTTTGCATACCTATTCTCAAATGAAAGAAATTCCTAGTGCAGATGAGTCATTGATTTTGTCCGTGTGGGATTCTGGTGACAGTGGAGCAATGCCAAATCTCGAGGTCTTGGAATTAGTTGACATGAAAAAGTTAGAAACTATATGTGCAGATGAGTCATTGGCATGGCCTAAGTTAAAGGAGCTTCGGATATACAGGTGTAGAAAGCTGAAAAGAGTTCCTTTCGACAAGGAAAATGCTACAGGGTTAAAGTTGATCAAAGGGGAACAAGCATGGTGGGATAACTTGTCAAACGAAGAGTTCATAGAGCACTTTAAGTCCTTTGGCATTCTCAGGCAGAGTGTTTAATTATTTGAAGCTGTGCTTAGGAGAAAAGTTGGAAAAATGATTGAAAGCTGCATCTGCGTATGGCCATTTTGAAGCCTAATCATTAGTTTTACCTTTCTGTCATTTCTGCTCTCACTTTCATGTCCTGTTTTAATAATGTTTCTACTATTATGTAATGTTAATCTTGGTCTTTAGGAGCTTTGTTCAGACCAGGCAACTTATGATGTTTTGATTTATGTGTAACTTATGGTGTTTTATTTGAACAACTTGTTTGGAGATTCAGCATCAATACTTATTGTAATGGTGTAATTGTTGTTGTTATCGGATTATCATCCATTTTACTTATTTCCTAGAGCTTGAAAATTAACAGACTACAGTGACTGATCTGAGAATGTTTTGTCTTTAATTGTTTATTAATAGTGATGAACCCTGTTTTCCCATTTAAATTCTAAAAGAGACTGAATTTAGAGCCTAAAATTTGAATTAGAAATATGATTTAAAATGTTTAGATTAGTTATATTCTTGTCGATTGTTGGTGAATCAGTCCCAGTAAGAAGGCAGCAAAAATCAAATCACACATTACTAAATGGGTGCTTGGTGACTCCTGTACTGTGCTGCTGTAGCTGAAGATGAGGACAGAGAGGAATCAACCTTCACAAGAGGTAAGCCGGGGTTACCCTGAATAATCTCTTCCTCAGTCATTGCCACGACAGTTTCGTAGTTCTTATCCTAAAAATCAAATTGACATTTGTACCAGGCAAAACAGGATCAGCCTGGTATTGAGAGTGTTGGCAGGAAGCCAGGAAGCAAGTTTACTGAACATGAAACGCAGAAATGGTGAGAAAGAAAGGACCAACCATTGTTGATTTGACCAAGTCAAGTGATGATGAAGGACAAGATGCAAGTATTGCACCACAAGAAGCAAGCAAGCGACCATCTAATGACTAGGATAGTTGTATCTGGTATTGACAAATCCCTCAAATTTCAAAATATCAATTATCAATGTCAACTGAAGTTTGACATAAATTTTCTTTTCTTTTTTTTCTTTAATTACTTTTTCTGTCAATTAATAATAGCTAAGAAACAATTTATGAGTTTTATATTGTTTCTATTTTTGTCAACTCTCCATAACTGCTATTAAGATCCATATTTCTTCAATTAATAATAACTCCAACACATCACTGCTTACTCACCTATCAAATATTACCGGCCAAGATCTTCCCAACCCCAGGTGGTGCCAGTTTGAAGCTAAGAGGTAGCTATTTCATTCCAAAACCTTCTACGAAGCTTTGACAAAGTTGCATATGCAAAGTGATTTACAATGATTTTACTGCTCTTTCCTTTTTCTTCAACTCTCCATCACTGGTAAGTTCTTCAATTAACAATTCTTACATTTCCAAACCTGGTTCATTATTTTTTGCATGATGCACACCACAATGCTAACCCTATATCTGCTCCAATTTATATTTTGTGTAATTGATATCTATAAAAGTTGTGTGTAAGTGAATATATAAATTATAAACCTCCAGGGCATGTTCTCAGGCTGAATGCACCAGATATAAGATGTCCTGTGCTTTTGAGATCATTGGAAAAGACACTGGATTTGTTGAGAGAATAGAATTTGAGAAGAATAAGGATTTGGGGTTCAATTGTAGAGGATAAAGGGGCCACAATGCAGAACTTGAATAACTTTGAAGAAGGTGGACAGTTGTTTGACATGGTGACATATGTTAGGGTTTCCAAGGAGGGAAGGGAGGAAAAATTGCAGGGAAACAATGTGAGCAGACTTGGACCGAAAATTGAGGGCATTGTCAATCCGGTTGTAGTTGCTAGACTTTTCTGGATGAGTTGAAGAACAAGAAGTATTTGTTGCTTCTTGATGAGGTGATGGATCCAATGAATTTGCTTGAAATTGGTATTACTGATCTTGGAAATGGAAGTCAAATTGTTATGGCTACGGAGTCTCAACATGTTTTTAATTTGATGACAGAAAGACTGATTTCCATGGAAGCAGGAAAAGATGTTTCAAGAAACAGTCTTTGAGGAAACATCTGCCACTGCCTCTTCCATAGAAACTAATCTTTCTGTCATCAAAAAATAGAGACTCCCATCTCACTAAATAAAGCCAGCTTATGGTACTAAAAGAAGAAGGCATCCTTTGTTTTGTTTTTAATTTCCAAGTCAAATTTCTATTGATACTTCCAAATTTTAGATGTAAATATATAACTGATAATACTCTAGCAAAAGGTTCTCTATTCAGTGCTAATTTTCGGCCATTTCCTTCATTATTGCTAGAAGCCTTTCTTTTAATTTTTTTACTCTCTTCAAAGCTTTCTGCAGAAATGCTACTCGGTCTTACTAACAAAGTTGTAAAATATATTTTTATGCAGATTGATCACAAAATACTTATGTGAAACTCACCTCCTGCCAGAAGCAGCGATCAAGTTTTATTTTTAGGTTTGTACATTCACCAAAGAACTTTGCCACAGGATGATCTAAATGACACTTGGAACTCCTCAATTATCTGCAACAAAGATTCAGCAAATTGAAGTAGCAAAAGGAATTCTTTCAACAGAAAAAGTTTAACATCAAAATCAAAAAATTAACAATGATTTCCATGTATTTGATGTCGGCTTGACAAACAATCCTTTAAAATTTCAATGGATGCAGGAAAAGTAACATCTTGTTCTATCAATCCAACAATCTTGCTTGTCAAATCTTATTTGGTAAAACATGTAACTACTTTCAACTTTAATTCGCATCTATATGATGAACCAATTAAAGATCACAACTTTCACAAGGATATGTTTCTCAAATGATCTCTGTGCAAGATTGTGTCCAAAGACTCCAAACTACCACTAACCTATGGCCCCAAATGAGAGAAGCTAACTTCATACGATTAGAAGCAATAACTAACGATAAGCATTTTACTGAAATCAAGCAATAAGAAAATGAGATAAACTCACTTCACCATATATTGGGTTCCTATGTAGTGTCAAAGGAGGATGCATAAGAAGAAAGAAAAAGCTGTACTATTCTGCAATTAAACAGAGTTGATACTTTCAAAATAGCAGCAAAATTTCAAACAATATGTAATAGAGAAGTAAACTAAATATATGAATTGGCTGAGGCATACTTTAAAAATTTACAGGCTTCTAAAACTTTTCACGATGAGAACATGAGGCCACAAAATTGTGACAAATAGAATTGAAAATATAAGAATTCTTAGTTCAAGAACCAATTAGAGGAAACAAGTAAACCCATGAAAGATTATATAATCAAAGAAATCCAAGCCACTGTCCAACAAAAGGAAAATGGAAATTGGAAATGAAAGACTCCATTTTCATGAACCATCTTGAAAATTTTGGTTTAGGCCAAAACCCCAATATCAAGTTGGAATGCATTAACATCAGAAGATTCTACTAAACTTAATGGCAAGACAACGGGGGGTTTTTTTGAGCAAATTCATAAAGGATGAAGCTTCATCAACGCCATCACTAACTAACAGGCAACAGAAAAATTACAAATAATATGTAGAAATCTGTATTCATATACAAAAATTATGCATTCATATAAAGAAATTGAAAAAATTTACAGAAACCCCACATTAAAAAAAGCTAACTTTGAGAAACAAATTAGAGGTTGAACAAGGGTCACTAACCACGAGTTTATGAAGATAGTCAACGCCGCCCTCATTCCGCCGCAGTTGAGGTCGCCAACCTCCTCCTACCCCTCGTCGAAGCCACAAAGTCTGAACTCTGAAAACAGTGACTTAAGACGGAAAGTAGCTGCCTTCCTTTAAATTCGAGCTTGATTCTGTTAGGCAATTCCCTTCCATATAAATTTTATATATTATATATATATTTTTTATTTTTTATTTTTTATTTTTAATATTTATATTTTATTAT